TTTCATGTGTTTTGCCCAAATTCAAACATGTAAATCTTTCCTCCTCTCCAGAAGAAGGTGGAGACCATGTAAGACCTCAGGTGAAAACTTGAGACCAGGGAGACATAAATTCTCATCTCCTTTATGCCAGGATTTAAACTATAACTGAAATTAAGCCCATGCCTTTGTATGTACCAACCAAGGATGAAAAGTTGTACAGAAGGATGTGAGATGGTAAGAAGAAATCGAGTTTGTTGTTTCAGTTTTGCCATAAATAACCCACAATATGAATAACTCATTTGTTGCTTGATTTTGGTAAACAAGTCTTATTTGAAGAAAATGAATGGTTCTTTTAATAATTTTTCCAAGTCCATCTTGCTTGGTTCAACTAATGATTTTCTCCTTACACTTCCCTGTCTTATGAGTTTAAAAATGTGGTCTTTTTATAAGTTGAATATATTGACTGCTAGTAAGAGATGTTATGATATTAATTTCAGTTCCTTTGTTTTTATTGATAACTTCCAAACTTATTGACAGCTAAATTTTATGTCTTGTGCCTAAATATTATTGAGCTACATGGCAATTTTACATATGAATTTTCTGTGAATTACATTTTAAGATCTCTCTATATTTTTGTGAATAGGAAGTAAACAGCTGGTATAGAACTCTAGGTTCAGAGAGATGACCTGAAGTCCATTCCCGGCCTATAGCTAATTTGGTTTGTGACCTAGGCAAGCTATGATCCTTCTGAGCCTGTGTTGTTTCTTGTGTAAAATCAGAGACTTTGACTAAATCAGTGAATTTTATTCCATTCCAATTTTTCTTCAAAGAGCAAATCATATATAAAACAGGTAGAAATGGAGCTATCTGGCTAAAAGGAAAATGGGGACTCTGAAACTGTGACTTCCTTATCCCTAAATTCTGCTGTGTTCTCTGTGGCGCCTTAGTTTTCTGTGGGACGTAGTTTGAAAGCCATGGGTTATAACAAATTCCTTCTAACTCACTAAAATGTGCTGGTCCATTTTTTGCCTTTGTAAAATTTTTTCGCCTTATTATATGTAAAAATGAAGTTCCAGATGTTCGCGCTACCCTTACTGATGTTGGACTTCAAGATACCTCCACTCGCTGGAACCTAATTAATCTCTACCTGGAAATCAGCGGAAAGGCCATGGAGAAAAGAGAGCGGTTTTGTTAAAGTTAGCATATATGTTAGTCCTTAAGGAGCTGATATAGCTTTTGATTTAGTATGAGATATAAAATGAATATTAACAGTGTATTAGGCTTTTTAAATTTTCCATAGCAACATTCAGTTACTTCTAAGCTATTACTTACCACATTTTAAAAGCCATTGATACTGCCCTTGTCTAGCTCAGTAGTCACAAATGCCATCAAGATGTCTTTCCCTCCTCTTACCTTCCATCATCTGTGCCAGACACTGTATTATGTCCCCGTTAAACTGGGAGTAACACTCTGGACTTCTATGAAGAGAAGTGTGAGAAAAATGTGTGATTTAGTGGGAAAATAAGAATGAAATGAAAGAGAGATTTTAAAACGCATTTAATATTTTCCAGTATTTCACTTGTGAATCTGGGCAAAACTTTCCTAACCTCTTCCAGCCAGGACAAAACTGGAGCCGTCAATACCCAAGACCTCTTTTCTAAGCTTGTGTGGGCCTCTCCCAGAGCCACTCTTTTTCTGGGTTCTGGGTCTGTCTGTCATCTGTTGAGCTTTGGTATCTGACCTGGTATCTCTTTTCCAAAGGCAGTTGCCCTCTATAGTCATTTGTGTGATATTTAAGGGCCAGTGAAGGGCTGGAAGAGAATGTCTGTGGGGAGAGGCCCTGCAGGTTGGAATAGAGGCAGCTGCTTCCACCATGTACTCTTTAAGAGTTAGGAGTAAAAGGTGAGCTCTGTTAAATTTGTAACACAAAAAATATTCTCCAAGACTTCTTCAGCACAAATGTAAGCAACCTGTAAAGATGAGTATTTAATCTTTTATCCAATTTATGTGTTTCAAAGTATTTGTAAGTGGGGTAGAAAGAAGTCAAATCTACACATGGGGAGTGAATCTTTAGAAGAGCTTTTGGAGGAGAAGATAATAGCCTATGTGAGTAGTCTTTAGTTTAAGTCATATAAACATGTTCATTTTGGATAATCCTTATTAATGGCAAGATAAGATTCTTTTAATAAAAGCTTCTCCCTTTATCTGCTATTGAGATAATGCTTTCACATGACCTCCCCAGCAATGCTATGGTCCTGTTCTTCATTTTATAAGGCCTGTATATAATGTTACTCTCAATGAGATGTCATGAAAAACATTCTAGTAAATATTAAGAAACCTGTTAGTCAAAATGTATCAAGGCATCGGATACATTTTCATGATCACCACAGAGTGTTTATTATGTTCTGTATATTGTTTCAGATCTTGCTCTGAACATTTAGTGAGGGAATATCTATTTATGAAAGATTTACATAAGAATACTCTATATGTGGATGTTTGAAATATAGTTTTAGATTTTCTACACATCTCATAATCAAGTAGATAAACATAACTAAAATTAGTGAGATATTTCAGAAACAGTTCTAATTTCAAAATCAAAGCTACAAACTAAACATCTGTATCTTGCTTTCCTCATTTCTAACTCTAGAATGTTATGAATCAAAGAAAGTATGGTTAAAACCTAGCTCTAACACATGTGAATTATTTTTTTTTAATCTTTGGGGGGTTTTTTTGAGTTGGAGTCTCACTCTATCACCCAGAATGGAGTGCAGTGGCCGCTCCCGGCCACCACAACCTCAACCTGCTGGGCTCCGGCGATCCTTCCACCTCAGGCTTCCAAGTAGCTGGAACTACAGGCACATGCTCCCATGCCCAGCTAATTTTTGATTTTATTGTAGAGATGAGGTCTCACCAAGTTTCCCAGGTGGGTCTTGAACCCGCGGGCTCAGGCAATCCACTCACCTCAGCCTCCCAAAATGCTGGGATTACAGGCTGAGCCACCAAGCCCGGCTCATGTGAATTATTTTTAAGCAAGTTTTCTGAAATATTTGTATCCCTATGAATAGAGAAACATTAATCATAATACATGAATTAGCATATTTTTGCTTCATGTTTCACCAGTAGAATTTTTACATGACATTATAACAGTACCACATTGTTTCATGCATGTATTTAAGATTTTGTGCTGAAAATTTAATAGCATAAAACATACTTTAAAATCTTAGCTTTCTAAAAGTAGAGAATGGAAAGTTCATTTTAAGAAAAATACATCAAAGTGAAAAAAGTTTAATCAAACGCATAAAGGGAAAAATTTTGTTAAGAATGACACTGTAATGCATTCATTGCAAAATACAATTTTGATTGTTTAACTTTCACACTAATAATTGAAAACTCTACCTGTCTGAAAGTATGTATACTTAATAGACACATATTAATTTTTGTACTTTTTTCAGATTATTTTAAACAGCATTAAGCATATCTATTCTGTATCTAAATTTAAAACAAGTAGAAAGTTTATGTTATGTATGTGAGTCTTTTTTTACTTAAGCAGTGCTCATGTTAGGTTCAGTCTCTAAAAATATTCAAGGCCACATCTTGTAATTGATATATCATTCCCATGATCACCTCTTCTTTAACTTACATGACATTTCTCATTTAAGCCATTTCTGATTCATTTCAGATGCCACAGGAGTTGTTAGACACTATAGCTGGACAAATAAGAGAATATGGTTCCTAAATGTACGAATTAAATTTAGACTAATTTACTTCAGAAATAAACTGTAAATAGCAAATGGCATTCTTTTCTATTGCTTGCTCGATGGATACTACATTAAATATTTTTTGTTACAGACATCCAATACAAGATGTAAACATAAACATTCATAATGAAGAACACACTTATGCCTCAATTAATTCATCATGTTCTATAGCTCTAATAAAATCTCTCCCCTCTCTTTTTCTCTCCCTCTCAGTTGTACACTTTCTTCACTTCTGCCAACCCTGTGGAACTGTTAGCATTCTGGATCTGTTCTCAGGAAACAACGATGACCTAAAGACCCCAGACACATCTAATAATCTTTAGCCAGGCAATTAGAATTCATAAGCAGTCACTTGACAGGTGACATTATAAATCTGTATTTACTTTGTCATTGGTTTACTTTTGTCCTCAGGAAAAGTTGCAGATTTTTAGCATGGAATAAAAACACACATGTCAATTTCTGTTGTTTGATACGACATTGCATATTTTTTGTTTTAGACATCCAAGACAAGATGTAAAAATACAAACATTCATAATGAAGAGCACATTTATGCCTCATTCCTTCAGCGTGTTCTATAGCTCTGAAAAAATCTCCTCTCCTGTTTCTCTGCATTGCTCTCAAAGATCTACACTTTCTTCACTGTCAAGTTCTTCTGCCTTCTCTCCTGCCCTTGGAGCACTCTGCTCATTTTCTCCAGCATCTTGCCCAACCAGACTTCCCAGAGTCCCATGGTGTTCTTCCTCCCTCCAGCTCTTTGCATTTGTGTCTCCCCTCTTGCCACCATATATCTTCTTGTCCTTCAGGCATCAACCTACATAGAAGCCCACACTGTTGAACAGAACTGGGACAGAGGTCCCTTCTGTGTGTTCCAGTGGTGTCCTGTTTTGTGCCTTCCATGGAATCTGGACTCCATATGGAAGTGGCCTGTTTGTCTGTTTTTCAGGTTAGAGTGGACAGGCTTGTTGAGGGGTGACTGTGTCATCTTTATCTTGTGGTTCCAGTGCTTGTTCTCATACCTTGGCACATGGCTGTTGAATACATAAATGAAGAATAAGAAAACTAGAAGCTCTAATACTTAACCACACTAATAATTAATTCAATGTGCAACTCTAGACCAATTATATTTAATAATACTTTAGTGATACATACATATTTTTTATTCTTATTAACACTGATAAAACCTCAACTTTTTATATTCATTTACACTTGGTTATCCATGTGCTAACTTATTTAAAGGACATAATTCTCTCTTTTTCTTTCCAGCTGTTGCTGAATTGGAAAATTGCTCTCATGGTTTTTTTCTCTAGGAGCTACTGATGAGTCACATCTAAATAAAGATCTCAATTGAAAAGCATCAAGAAAATACAAAACAACTTTACAGAAGAATCATATGAACTGAGTAAAATTGAATTCCGGTTCTTTACATAGCATTTTGTTTGTCACTAAATATATAGCATGTGAAAATCATTATTAGAGAAACATATTTTTGTATTATTTGCATCTGATGAGTACTTATGTGGCATTTTAGATAAAAGCCTAGCCTCTTTAACTTTTAAGTGGATCTTGCAAGTGAAAGCTAGTATTCTTAGTTTTACTTACTCAAATTCCCCAAATATCAGTTTTTTAATCAGCCAGGCAACCAAGTTGTCATGACTACTTTAGTGAATTTAATTGATAAGTCTTATTTGTATTTTACAATTTTTATCACTCTATATAATGATAGTTTAGATTTCAACAGACATTATTTTGGTGTATGGGTACTGTGTGGTTGTTGTCCATGTTTGAATGTATTGCAATTGTTATAGTGCCACAAAACATAAAGCAATTATAATTTTAAGTACTGATTTATATAAATCTTTCCACATGGAAAAATAAGGTTTGCTTAAGGCTTTTCTCTTCTTTTTTTTTTGAGTCAGAGTTTTACTCTGTCACCCAGAATGGAGTGCAGCAGCATACTCACAGCACTGCAGCCTCAACCTCCTAGGCTCTGGTGATCCTCTCACCTCAGCTTTCCAAGTAGTTGAAATCACATGTGCATGCCACCATGACTGGCAAATTTTTTGATTTATTGTAGAGAGGAGGTCTTGCCAAGTTGCCCGGGCTTGTCTTGAACCCCTGGGCTCAGACACTCCTCTTGCCTCAAACTTCCAAAGTGCTAGGATTACAGACGTGAGCCACCATGCCGTGCTTTCTTTCTTTTTTTGATCTCATTTTTAAACTTTTGGATATAGTAGTAGATTCAAGTTCCAAGTTTTAGTATATTCATAGGTGTGTGTATGTATATACATGCACTCAGACACGTGTGTGTGTGCAATATATATTTGTTGATGTATCAATAACTGTTACATATTTTTGTAAGACATGACACCTTTTTGTACATGTATTCTTACTTTTAGTTATGTCTTTTACTAGTGTTTGCATGGAACAATCCACAGTGACAGACAGTGGTGCACTGTTTCTTGCAGGTGGGGTTCTAAAAATATAAAACCTTACCAAAAGTTTTGTTTGTCTGACCTAGTGTGCAGATTCAGGGTTGCATTGGATTCCCGTTGGCAGAGCTAGTTGTTTTTATGCTGTTTGGATGAGGACTAGCTCCAGCTCCAGTAAAAAGCAGTGTGAAGTCACCGAGTATCTCAGGGTGAATGGGGTCAGCAAAACCCTAATGAACCTGATAACATCATGTGGCCTTTCATTCAAATCCTATCTGATCAGAACCTCTCTGACCTTGTTGGCAGAGGTTAAAAGGGACTTTTTGCTGGCACTGCCGTCCACTTTTTCACCTGGATGGCAGACCTAATGGGAAGATCTAAAGGTCACACTGTCTCTGACCCACAAGCCCATGCCTGGCCCAGGGCCTCAGGGCTCTTGTTGATTGCCTGCATGCACGTGTGCAGTTTACATCCACCAGTAGCAAAAATCCTTCCCCAACATTCTTGACCCCTGTTTTTGAATAAGCACCATTCATCCCCCTGGGAGGCCGCATTCAGCTCTCTGCTTGTGATCAAGTTCTTCTCTGTACCTACTTTGGCATTCAGAAGGGTTTGTCAAAACCAGCCTCCAGTGTCCATGCTGCTCATACCCATGGACTAGGCCACGGGAAACTGAATTCTCCAGGTGTGTCTTGTCCAAGTGGTCAGCAGGCCTTCCTGTGGGCTTCTCTGGATCCAGTTTGAACTGGCCAGAAGAGGTTTCCTCTAACCTTCAGAGGCTGGAGATATCTTCCTGGCCCACAAAAGCCCATATTCTCAAACAGTGCACTTCAATACTGGCCTCACTGTCCCTTCACCCCATATGATCATTCAGAGTCACCCAAACTCATACTATCCCTAGCACATTCCGAGATCTAAAAATCTCACCATTTTCCCTCCCCACAGAAAGCCTCTTAATGAAACCCACTGGAACTGGGACACTAGAGGCCACAACTATCTTTGGTGTGTCAATCATGAGCACCAGTGCACATTACCAAGCTTAGGGGAAGCAGACAGCTTTCCCGCTGAGGGTGATTTCACTTGAGCTGGCTCTGGTTCACGATCATTTTCCAGGTGTTTGCAGCCAACTTATAGTTCCAGGAAAAGGCAGGGACAAGCTCCTGTGAAAATCTCCTTTGTTACTTTCACTACTGATAGGTATTAAATGGGCCATAGGGTCCCTGGTAAGGTAAGGGATCTATGTGTGTCATTTTGGGGTTGTGTTTGTCTTATGAATGTATGTCCTTATTTATTGATTTACTATGTATTTAAACATTTTTCTAGTTATATATATGTACACTTTTAATTATAATATATACATTAATGACTGGGGCAAAAGCACTGTAGCCTGGACTAAAAGACTACGAATGGTGAATAAGCACCATTCGTCCCCCTGGGAGGCCGCAGGGGGATGTGTTAATATGTGTTAACATGTGTTAACATGTACTTTTTAATGTTTTTCATAAGTGTGTTTATGTATAAATGTATTATGTATATGTTACTTTTTTAGAACTTAAGTCTATATAGCTTTTATCATGTCCATATGTATATTTTTAGCTGTCTCTACTTCTGTCTGCATGGAAAGCACTGCAGGGTAAAGACAACACTGTGTCTGCAACTGTGTGTTTTGGGAATGTGTTTATTTTATGCATATATATTTATTTATAGATATTATTATAAATATTTATGTATACATGAATGTAATCATATATTTGATGTATAATTTTTATGAAAACGTGTACATTAATTGGATAGATATATAGATAAATAGATTTTCTTCTCACCTGCATAGGAAAAATCACGCTAGACTGTTATACAGTGCTACTAGTACGTGTGTGTGTGTGTGTGTGTATTTTAATAATTTTAATAATTTTTTACCTATCTGTTGATGTGTAAGTTAATGTGCTCCTTACTTCTTTCTGTCCTTAAATATATGCAGCTCTTTTCATGTGTGAAGTTATACTTTGTCGATATGTATGAAACACTCCAGAGTGACAGACCATAGAACACTATCTTGAGAGTGGTGATTCAAAAGCCGTGAGACCCTAAGGACCTTTTTCTCTCTGGTCTATTGTGAGGACTCAGGATACATTGGGTTCACAGTGTCAGAGCAATTTGCTCACACTGGCAAACACTTGTTAGTGTGGGTCAGAGATGTCATGTCTGGGTCTAAAGATTATGATTCCCCTGAGTTTGACACTCAGCCTCTTGTTTTTGATTATTATGTTTTCTTTGTGGACCACACACTGTGGCATGCAGAAGGGCTTGTCAAGACAATGTTTTTCTCTGCATCTCCAGTTCATGGTAGAGGCCTCACTCAGACACCAAACTCTCCAGATGTTTCAAATCCGGGTGTCCTTCAGGCTCCTCTGTGGGCTTCTCTAGATCCAGCTTGAACTAGCCAGACCCGTCCTTGTGATGGCAGCCTTCAGAGTCTGGGAACATTTTTCTGGCTCACAAATGCACACAATAGTCATACATGTCTTTCAATCTGGCCTGACTGTCCCTCCACCCTGATATCATCTGAAGCCACCCACTCTAGTAGGTGTAGGGTATCCTGAGAATGAATATCAAGCCAGTTGGCTGACCCATTAAAAGCCTCCTGTCCACTCACCCAAACTGGGCCACTAGTGTACACCCACCTTTGGTGTGTGAAGCATGAGCACCTATCCTCTTTGATAGGTTAAGGAGAGGTGGACACCTTTTCCCCCTAGAGGATGTTGGTACCTAAGCTGCATCTGAATAAAGGCCGCTTGTTAACAGTCAGTTTGGAGTCACACCGATCAGGCAGGAATAAAACCCCTGTAAACACTGTGGTTTCCTTCACTGCCACAAGGTAGAAAAGAAACTCAAGATTCTGTGGTCTGAATGTAAGGGGGTATATGTGTGTGATTTGGGGATTGTGTTTTTCTACTGAATATATATGTATTTATTTTTATTTGTAAATTTATTATATAGTTATATATATTTGTGATCTAGTTCCATGTTTATATTTTATTTACATAAATATAATTTTTACAAATTTTTATTGACATTTAAAAAATGTTTTTCCCTTGTCTTCTTTGAAAATGCCATTCAAGACTGACCTGCAGCAATAAAAATGCATATGTATAAGCAGGTACATTTTAACTTTTTTCATATATTTTGTATAAATGTGTTTGCTGGATTTTTATGTATTTTTAAAAATACACCACTTTATTTGGATATTATCTGTGTATATAGCTATGCTCTTACATGTGTCTATATTTGTGAAATACTCCACAGTGGCAGATAATGCTGTTTCTGTGTTTTTGGAGGTTTTTTTGGTATATTCAGGTGGTGAATTTTTTAAATGTACATGTATTTTTATTTTGGAAAAATCATATGTAGAACAATTTGCAGTAAGCTTGTCGTGATTGACAGAGATTTCCCATACACTCCTGAAGCCCTTTCCTGTCTGAGGGACATCACACATTACTATGACATAGTTGCCACAATGTATGAACAAATATTGATACCCTATTATGAACTGAAGTCTAGTCTTTCTTCAGATTCCACTAGATTTATTTTTACTCTTCCAGGATCCCATTCAGCATTCTTCATCACTTTAGTTCTCCTATCTCTTTGCTGCTTCTTTTTATTTTTAAATTTTATAAACTAAAAGAGGAACATCACAGATGGACAGCTGTTGTTCAAGGCTTGGCCATTACAGCTTCTGACTGGTTTTTCCATCAGCAAGAGACACTGAAGAAAGTGGATACAAAGAAAAGATATCTATTGACAGTGAAAGGTAAATGAACTTCAAATCAATGATTTTTCTTCCAACAACTTTTGTTTGCACCACACTTTCCCTATGACATTTTTTCATTTCCATGTTTCTAAATGTAGAAATAGGAGTGTTGAGCATAGCAACAATAATTACATAGAAGAGTGCAAACACGTTGTCTTCTGATAAGGTTGTAGTGGGTCTCATGTAAATAAAGATGGCCAACACACACACAGAAAAACCCGCAGTATTACAACAGTTATATGGGTACTGCAAGTGGAAAGTACTTTGCAGTGGCTTTTCAGATATGCCTTCCCATTATACAGTGTCATAAAGTA